CTGTTATCTCTGTGCCAGCAGGCTGAACACTGTGGCAGCTCATGTTAATCATTTTGACATGATTTTATTTTCATTCATGCATAAGCATACCTGAACACCTCCCACCCCCCATGGCTTCCATTGTTCCCACACTGCGTCTGTTTCCTTCTTAATGCTAAACTTTATGTGTTAAGTGACACACAAATGAATTAAAATTGAAATCAGGGCGGGAGGTATAACAAATGAGATGGGAAAATAAAGTTTATTCATAGAAAAACTCAAATTAACCTTTAAATTGCATCTAAAGTAAATTTGAATGTCAATGTTTGAACATTTCAGTGTTTCCCTGCTATTATTGCCTCATTTGTAAAAAGTGAATACATTTTCTACATGACAAACATCCCAAAACGGGTTAATTTCAATATCAATATCTGAAAAATTAACATCATATCCAAAATCAAAAAGAAAAAATAAGTAGGTCCTCTGGATGGGTTCTTCTTTAGTGAAACATTTCGTCTCTCCTCCAAGAGACTTCTTCAGTCTGAGGAGTTTCAGGTGAACTCAGCCTTATAAGCACTGCCCCCACATGGTGGACAAACAGGTTGGGGGGATGTTGAGCCCCACCTGCATTCACTACATACACATAACACGGCACCTAAGAACCACAGCATCCAAACCAATAAGTCAGGTGATGAGGCACATGACCCTCTATGAACAATAGAACTAATCAAGCCTATTGTTAGGCGATGGCCCTCTTTTGCATGTGACTAAATAAATCTAAACAAGCCTATTGTTAGGCGATGGCCCTCTTTTGCATGTGACTAACCTGTTTGTCCTTGTGGAGGCAGTGCTTATAAGGCTGAGTTCACCTGAAACTCTTCAGACTGAAGAAGTCTCTTGGACGAGAGACAAAACGTTTCACTAAAGAAGAACCCATCCAGAGGACCTCCTCATTTTTCCTTTTTGATTTTTTTCTACCTGGATTACTGAGATGCATCAGGACATCATGTCCAAAACATTTGCAGCACTTAAAACAACCACTCTGTCTTCTCCTGTCCAACAGCTTAACTATTGTTTCTCTCGTTCGAGCTGTGCCACCAGTGAAGGTCAAAATGTCACGGCAAATCTGCAAAGCAAGGCCTTCCAGCTTCTAGATTCAATTACCCTGAGCTACTTCCTTTACTTACTCTGTGATTAATGAAAGCTGCGGCTACAGGAAGGAGGGTCGGTGAAGGTTGCACGAAGGTACACACATGTGCCCTGATATTCCAGGTAATTTTGGTGGAAAGGGGGGAACAAGGGGGTACTCAAGGGGAATTGTTCATTTCCAGAGATTTTATCTAAACTTGCACCAATTATCACCTTGACATTCAATTTCAGGCTAAGTGTAGATAAAACATGCAAAAACACCAAAGCGTGTATTTTCTTCTTTCTCCTTTATTTAGTGTAAAGAGAAAACCTTCAGCCATGCAGATTTATTTCACCGTATGTTGCTACGTGTTTTTTTTTCTTATCATTTTATAATTTATGTGAGGACACCCTTGTCTCACCGGCTGCGTCTTCTTCAGCCGCCTCATAATTACTTTGCACATTGTAAGACTCCCTCTTCACACATTCATATCACTTTCTCACTCATATGACTGATTTTCCATTTTTATCTCTGAGACACTTGATGTGGTGCAGCCATAACATTGTGACAGTGACTTATACCAGAGAGTTGATTTTTTTTTTTTTTGCATATTTTAGATCAAATAAATTAAATGAGGGTTGAAAATACCAATGTGTGTAAAGTAAAAAACAACAATCATAAAGGGCTGAGCTGCATTCAGGCTCTTTTCAGTCTTTCACTCTAAACAGACCACATCTGGCTGCCAAAACGCTACAAGAAAAACCGAGAGCGAAACAAAGCAGTGAACATTCACTCTGCCGTGTGAGCGCGCTGGCTTCATTCAGCGACCCCAAGTTTCCTGTCTGAGGACGTTTATTTCACACTCAGTCAGAGCTGCCCGTTATTGACTTTCCACTTAGAAAGGTACAAATGCTGAAAGCATGCAGAGGGAAATAAAAAGTTCAATCTAAGTGTGGTGTTAAAAGCTTTACTCGTGCCCTGATCAGTTTCAACGGGTGCCGATAGAGCTGCTGCTGCTCCAAACACAAACATGCAGGAACAACAGAAGGATCAGGAGGAAATTTGGCTTTTCATTATAAAAGGAGTTTGCGTAAACCATTTGCAGAGATGCTGAATGCATCCGATGTAGTGAAAAGAGTCACTCAGCATGCAGTTTAGTTTCGTGTAACTGACTCCCGTGTGCTGCACTCAGTTTGATTATTGCCACAGTTATTCTGGCAGTCACGTCACACGCTGGTTCATACAACTTTAGTAGGATTAGAAGAAGGATTGCCCAGATGTTACAAAAATATCCAAAGGGGAGATTAGGCATACCAAACCAGAACCCTTCTTTCATCTTGTGTTCGTGTGCAGTTTGTGTGACTGCTCACAAAAAAATAAATAAATAAAAAATATATAAACCAGCTACATGCTTGACAAGCTAAGCTACCTTTTTCCCCTTTCGTTTTCTTTTGAAAACTTTATAAGATAGTACCTCAAATCACAGTTGGGTGGACCCAGGAATACAGACAAACACAAGGAAGAACAAGTAAAACATAAAAGTTGATTAAAAAGAGAAGAAAACAAAATAACTCAAACCCGAGGAGACACAGAGGAGAAGCAAAGGAGGGGGTCATGCAACTCACAGTGCCAGACTGCAGGTAAGTGAAAACTGACTTTGTGGCCAGGGACTGATGAGTGAAGAGGAAACATCTGGATCAATAACAGCTGGGGACAGGTAAGAGTGGGCGGGGTAGAAAGGGACTGAGGAGAAACTGGTGACACGAGGAACATGAGGACTAAAAAATGAAATATGTGGAAAACAACAACAAGCAAATAAAGGAAATTAAATCAATAATCAGGGAACTGAGCTAAAAAAAAAAAAAACACAGATCCTAACACCTCAAACTGCATCTGGATCCTGAAATGAGGAAATCTGCTGCTGTCCAAAAGATAATAATCAGACAGATAATCAAATCAAGAAATGGCTCATGTCTGATTAGCCTACAGCAGTGAGGGGAGTAAAATGAGCACAGCAGGGTATCTCATAGAAATGTGTTTGTGTTGAAGGGAACATAAAATGCAACTTGTGGCAACATTTCTGCAAAAACAGACCAGATTTATAGTTCAGTCATTATCAACACATCTGAGTCCCACACAAGGTGCAACATCTCCCTATATTAGGTGGAATCATGCTTAATGTTTCTTCTATAGTTTAACCAGATCAGCTGTCATTTCTCAACCTTCTGATGACCTTAGCTCAATACAAAGATCATCGTCATGTATTCCATTCAAATTGGTGAAACTCTTAAACTAATTGTAACCTAAGACACAGATCAGAGTAACACATCTCATCATGAGAGCAATTTAAATCATTTGGATTCATTTTGGTTGAGTGCATGATCTCATAAGGTGAGTTACCAGCCCGAGGAAGAGATAAAATCTGAAGATGGTTATCTGTGCAGCTGAAGGTTACTGTGACAGAGGCTCTGTGGGTGATAGCTATGTGATACGTGTCACAGAGCGGCAACAGATGCCACCTTGTTGCTTTAGCAAAACCCCCCCCAAAAAAATAAAAACACTGGCGATCACCTTCAAATCGCATAAAGGGTGAAATATAAGCAGAGGAGAATTTTAAATAGAAAAACTGACTTGATGCTCGCATGACAACTGGACGTCCCTTTGCCTTCCCAGCCCCTTTTGAATGAATCCAGGCATAGGATGACAAAGGGAAGCCCACAGGTCATTTGGGTTTAAGGCAAAGGGCGACAAAGCAGAAAACACATTTGAGACTTATTTCAACCCAAAAACATTTCCCAGATACTCCGAGTTAAAGTTTTAGGAACCATGTGGTAGCAGCAACACACAAAGAGCAGTTTCATTTAGCGTACCCTTATAATGTCACTATCAACAAACCTCAGCGGGGGGGCTTCTGACAGTGAACACAAACGCTGTTGACAAACGGGTTATTCGAGTCACGGCAGTGCACTCGGTTAAACCTGCTTCCTGACACCAGAGGGGGTTCGCCACGTTTCCTAAATGAGCACTGATGTGTGAATTCATTCCTACCAAACTCCAAAATAAGCATTAGAAACTGGCTTTATGTAGAAAGCAAAGAAAAAAATAAGATAAAAGGAGATAAATCATGGCTGCAGAAAGCTTTTTACTGAGTTAAGGATAATACCAAACCTTTGACTTTGTGTAATAAATAGAACCAAAACATGAGGTATCTTTAAAATGAAGACAAATGATTAAAGAATTAATAACAAAAACGCGTTTGTTTCAATTGCACCATGTTATTTAAAAGACAATATTTATAATGTTGTCAGAAACATATTATTACAGAAAGCCACAAAAATAAATATTAGGGTGTTAAAAACTTTTCATGTACATTTATTTCAGTTGGCATATACCTCAGATTTAACATGAACACAAATAAATATTTTTAAAAAGATGTGATCACACTTTTCATCACAGCTTTTCTGTGTTTGGGCTCCTGTTAGGTTTTCTTATTGATGTGTGACTGTAATTTTTCAACTTGTTTATTTTTAGCTGGTTTGGTCCCAGTAGACAAGTCAGAACTGGAAACCAGCAATTATCAAGCAGTTTTATTTGGGGAACAGAGAAGCGTCACAGCTGTCTAAAAGTTTTGAAAGAAAAAAAAGAATGCTTCCTGCAGAGAGGGAAAGTTTAAAACCTCGAATGCTCATTAAGTTCTGCCCTGCTGTCTAAAAATACACCAACACTGTGGTCTGACAAACATCTTTAAAAATCTGTCAATTAACCTCAGGTGTTATTGTTAATCAAATAAAAACCGGTGCTTCCTTATTGCCGCCACCTGCGGATTTAAAACATGGTGTCTGGTTCAGTCTGGTGATGATGCTGTCAAACAAGTGCGGTAAATTTCACTCACGTGTGTTGATCTTCTGCAGAGAGATGTGCTTCTCCAGCTGCCGCCGTAGCCGCACCTCAGCCCCGTACTTCCCCGTGGTGCCGTTGTCCGCCAGGATGAAGTGGGAGTGGAGACTGTTCAGAACCGTCAGCTTGCTCATGGGGTTGGACATGGTCTGGTACGGACGCACCACCTGACCGACGCATTGATGTGAGCATTATCCAGCAGAAAATGATGCACAATCACACAATCATCAGCTGCTGGTAGAAATTTATAGTTTCAAGTTTTGAAAACTGTTTGGCAGGTGCATCTTCTATCGATGTTTTTTAAGTAATAGGACCAAGCTAGGACAACAGTGCTGTGTTACAAACACACAGTCAGGAGCCTGCGGGGACAAAGTCTCTCATGATCTCATGTATCTCTTGAGAAAACTGCAGCCAAAGAAAGGAAGGACAGTGAGGCAACCTGGACAAGTAAACAGGTTTGGTTTAATCTTGTTTTCTTTGTAACTAAATGTGTTCTTTTGAAGCATCTTTATCAAATGTTTTTGTAGTAAATTTTACTTCTTGTCAAAAGTGGCAGCTGACACAGAAGAAAGACACAAGCATTTTTAAATAACCCCTAGATGTGTTTACACTTTATTCTAAGGAGCCAAACTTAATCTTTCTTTCTTTCTTTCTTTCTTTCTTTCTTTCTTTCTTTCTTTCTTTCTTTCTTTCTTTCTTTCTTTCTTTCTTTCTTTCTTTCTCTTTCTTTTGCAGGCTAATTCTGCATTGTGAGATTTAAAAAAAAGGTAGAGAAGTTGGAACAGAGAAGTACAAAATAAAAAGAGTCAAGCCTAAACACACTAAACACAGCAGATGGACAGTATTTGAAAGCTTTGATAAATTAAAAAATAAAAATAAAATCAGCCAAGACATGGAACAGGAGCTAAGAGATGCATCAACCTTTGTTTATGTCAAGTTTCAGCTTATAGCTCTTTTAAATTCACTTGGTTGTCACAAAATTTCTATTTTGTTTTTTGTGGTCCAAGCCAATCAATTTGATGTAATTGGTAACAAAATGCACAAATATTTAATAAAATTGTTATATTTTCCCTAAGTTGTCTTGTTCCTAAGTCATTTGCTACGCTACACTGGTGCATCCCTTTAGAATGAGAGGCTTTTTACTGCATCGATGCATAGATTTTAATTTATAGCTTAAGAAACAGCAACAACATAAACAAAATCCTCTAAAGAAGGTTTATTACTGGACAGAGCATCAGTGAAAAAGCAGCTAAAATCGAAAGAAAAATATTCTGAGATTTTCATAAGATCTGAAGATATGAAATACAATTTAGGACTGGTTACAATAAAACATGTTCTATGCAGTAAAATATAAAAAATAATGATGATATAAAAATTCTTCCTAGTCCTGTGGATATAAAATCATTAGTTGTGATTCCTTTCCTTTCTACTTCTTAAGCTTTTAGTTTCTTGCTGCTGCTGGAAGCTTCTGGTGATCCCCAACAAGCCTTTTTCAAATTAAAGTATAAGTTTTCTTCTTATCGTCATTTTTGAGTAATGTGCCCTTACATCTGTCTCTTGTGAGTCCTTGAAGTTGCTACAATGCAAAACAATTAGCATTTCATATATTTTTGTCCTTTCTTTATTTTGCTGCATATATTTCTTAAAAGATACTCTGGTGCATTCACATTATCTGCCATGTTACACATTCCTTGTGTTGCACAGAAAGCTGTGCTGATATTTATAAACGATGAGGGTTTTCCTGGAAAAGAATATGGTGAACTGGGAAAGTGCCCAACGATATGAGGTGAACTCATCTAGTCATTACGCAGACAGTTAAAGCTAATCAAGTGAAAAAAAGTGAAAAAAAAAAAAAGTCCCTCGGCACTTTATCATCTCGTTTCAGCTCCTGACATTAATCGGCTCCGCTTGACTTGTTTCAGTGGGACAGAGTGCTGCATATTCTGATGAAATTCCACCCAAAAATGTGAATACTGACTCCCAGAGATTTGAGTGAGTCAGCAGGAGCTCGGCGGTCTAATGAGGTTCCGCCAGCTGTCCAACTTACTGTGAAGGAGTGTTTATCACAGATTATATTGGCTAACTCAGCATCTCAGTTAATAAGCTGACACCCGGCGGCAAATACCTGATGGCCTGCACAAGCTAATGGGAATCCTAACAAAATCGTTTTTAAAAATCTACACAGTGTACAGGTTTTGGGAATTGTTAACAGGCATGTGGCGGTTTGGAGAATTGCTTTATACAAACACACGCAAACTAGGTCTAATATAAGGAAGTGCCCGCTCCTCTTGTCTGAGACTTACATCTTTACCAACAAGATCCTCTTGATTTTCGACGATGCCCCATGGAGCAATACCAATGGTGCAGATCTTCCCTCTTGATTTGGAGGCGTGGTCCTTTAATGCATCCCCCACGTGCCGAATCACCCCTACGTGTGAAAGAGAGGAAGAAAAATATGTTTTCTCACAATCAGTTAACAGCTTAACGTCACAGTGATCCACTCTGCAGCATCCATTAGGAACAAAGACCGCAGCAAGGCAGCTAATGTAAATGGACACCCACCTCTCCAGGCCCCTAGTGTTGCTCTCAGGGGAGCAACAGTCAAACCCGGGGGGGCATCTTATCACATTCTTCCAGCTGACATTCACATCCTTCTCCACCTCCAGCCACTGTCCTACCCATCCACCCATCCATCCATTATTCAAGCCTCTCACTTGCTTCTGTACTCATTCTGTCACTAAATCTTACTCTCTATTCTTTTCTGCATTTAAGTGTGGCCTCTCTACAACACCCAATACTGTATTGTGTGTTTTTTTAATGCTTTCATCTCTATGAAGGAACATTACAGCTCTGTTGTTTTCTTTTTGTTAAGATCTAAATTAAGTCAGAGTTACTGAATGAATGATAATGAACAGAAGCTACAGTGATCGTCTTAAGTGAAGACAAAGTGAGGTAGCGTTAATTAAGGATCTAAAGATGACTGAGGCATTACAATGTGAACACTGCCCAACCAAAACTTCTATTTGAAAGGTGATGTATTCATTAAACAACCAAGCATTCTGTGTCAAAATTGGAAAAAAAAATCAGTCAAAAATAACTGCACATGACCTTCTTTGAAATGGTTCAAAAATGTACAGAGAACAGAAACACAGGACCCTGATTCGATCTCTGAAAACACTTTCTAACTCTATATTTATTCATTCTGTGTACCACTCATCAGTTTGTTTAATTAATTATTTTTTTATCTTATAATTTTTTTTTCCAATTCATAAATTATCGCAAAGGCTCCATCAAGATAGCCTGGTTTAAACCAGACCCTGTCCTTCACTTTGCTTCAGACAAGGGTCTGGACTTGATGCATTGAGAATCGATTTATTGCAGGAGGCGTGGCCTCTGCTGAAGTTTAAAATGATTGGATCAGTTGGCTGCTACGTATGTCGCTGTGAAGGAGGCTAAGCTAAGAAGCTAACCGGAAATCGCATGTGCTTTAAACAACCCTACTGAGAGGAGAAATATACCGAGCTGAACGAGATGACTGTAAATGAGAGCTGCTGCTTTGTCAGACAAATTTAATTTAATTTGGAAGCCTTATCAACACGGACTGGCTTCTTTCACTTCCTCCACTGCCGTGTGTTAACCTAACTAGCAGACACTGCGCAGAAAGTCAACGTCATTCAAAGCTCCTCCTTCTGTTTGTTGATTGGCCCAGGTAAAATAAACTACAAGCAGACACTGCGCAGAAAATTGACGTTCTATTTTCTGATTGGCCCGGCTAAAAATCTGCCAGCGAAATCCATCTCAATGGGAGAAGTCCCAGACGGAGCAGTGATGGGAAACTAGAATTAAGCGGAGCTGCGTAGGAAGGCAAGGGCCAGGCTACCATCAAGATCAAGCGTCTTTAAAGGGGCAATGTCATGTAAAATCAAGTTTTTTTGCATTTTAAATCATGTTATAATGTTATACTCTCATAAAGAAACATGCCCAAAGCCTTGCTCTGACATTCATGCATGTTTGAGAAATCCTGCAGTGATTTTAGGCAGCCATGCTGAGGAGCAAAACGACAGGTGGAGACCAGAAACACTTTTTGGTACCAGAAACACCCCTGGGATGTGTCTTTAAGCCGAACTTCCTCATGGCAGAGTGCACCCCCTCCCCCCTTCCCATACACCCCGCCCATGACTCCTGCAGGCTCTTGGCAGTAACAAAGCAAAGTGAAAGTGAAACTTAAACTGTCTGCTGAGTTCTCAACATTAGTTCTCACTCAGTGAAGCTCTTTTCAGATTAAAAATACNACTCAGTGAAGCTCTTTTCAGATTAAAAATACCTTTGAGGAAATGTATTTTCAGATGCCAAGTAAACTGCATCATGGCAGCCCCCCCCCCCCCCCTTACCAAAATGGGCGAGACAGAAGCAGAGGGTGGTTCTTAAAGAGACAGAGGCCAAGTTCAAGGCGTTTAAAAGAGGAAGTGATGAGAAGATAAGTTTATTTTCTGTTTAAACATTAAAACAGCATTTTAATAACAACTAAAGGTGACATAGATACTTTATTATGGTATAGTATTTAAATATATGCCTGAGAAACACGTACTATTACCCCTTTAAAGTGCAGGGTTCCTTACTAGAATAGTCTGGTTAATTTTATAAGAGAAAAAAAGTGATATTTGAAGTTTATAATTTAAAACAATCAATAAATAAGGTGGATGATCTTTGTGCTTTACCTGTGTTCACCCCGCCAGTGAAAATCCAGGCTCCGGTTGTCATGGCAGCCTTGATGAGCCCTTTACCAAAGACCTGCTTGAGTTTAGGCTGTAACTCGAAGTTCTGGAGGCCTCCGTGGACTGAGATGAGTAGCTTAGGAAGGTCCAGCTGCCACTCCTTGGTCATCAGGTGCAGCAGCAGGTCAGGCTTGGTGTCGTAAGACACTCGCACATACTGGAAATGGAGCAGAGGGTCTACTGTGAACAAATGTGAACACACTTTACATCACCAAAGGGATGGCATTAAAATAAAATTATAACACTGAAAGAGGATCAGTGTTTTAGACCTGCGTTAGCATGTGTTTGTCTAGAAAACAACAGAGCAATGAACAGATGTTTGCTGTGATTAAAGAACCACATGCATTACAGAGCATCTGTTTATTACGAAAAAGCACCCTCTGAAGCTCAAACTGACACTGGTGTTGATGAATAATTTAACACTGGGAATAAGGCACAAATATTTTTTTTATTCTAAGGATGCTCCAGTAGATTGCTTGTGGGACAGGACGCTGTTTAAGAGATGAAGGTTTTAATGAAATTTACCAGACTCATAGTGATGAATAACTTAGTCAAATGACAAAGTACCTACTGCAGACTGCATCATGTATTACTAATTTTCAAGAAAATGTATTTGTACATCCATTCAGTTTAAGAACAAACATATTACAACCCTTGTTTACCTCTCATTTAGCAAAAATCAACGAATTTGCTTCATTACTTTCAACACAAGTTTGTAAAAATGCCATCCATGTTTTTTTTTATATTTCTCCCTGTTTCACAAGGGTTGGTATTTATATAATAGACATGTTATACTCTAAAAAAAAACTTTAGGTTATATGTAAAACTCAAGTCCCGTGGGCCAAATGTGGCCTGCCACAGCATTTTGTGTGGCCCGTAAGAGCTGCAAAGATGTCTTAAAATAAGCATATGCTTTAAAACCAGCATTGACAATAAACTACATCTCCCATGATGCATGTTGGTTACTTTATTCGTGAAATGACCACTACGAGGTGGAGGTGTGCAAGGTTCTAAAGTAACTGGTAGTTGGTAGTCAGCAAAATTTGCCATTTAAAATTTCCCTTTAACTGCATTTTTGCCAGGTACTTTTGTTGTGGCCCAGTTTTACTGGTTGCAAATTTTAACTGGAATATTCTTCCATTTTTTTTTTCTGTCAGAAAGCAGAAAAGTCCAGAATTTTCAGAAACACTCTAGCTTTAACTTTTAATGGTATTTCTATATTATTTATTTCACATTTAGTCAGTCGTAACATGTTAAAACTAACCCATTTTCACTCCCAAGTCATCACATATTGACGCTTTTCCAAGGTTCCCTCTGTGTCCGATCAGTTATTGACGAGATGGGGTGGAATCTGTTGTCATCATTTCAGAAAGTGTAGAAAATGCACAAAAACTAACCGTCCCAAAGCCTAAAATTACCTTTACTCACTCTAAACATCCTGTCCCTGACCCTAGTACCGAAAATTAACCATCAACCCTGATATCCTGACGCATCTCAGTAATCCAGGTTAAAAATCAAAGGAAAAAAAATTGTATAGGTCCTCTGGACGGGTTCTTCTTTAATGAAACGTTTCGTCTCTCTTCCAAGAGACTTCTTCAGTCTGAGAGTTTCAGGCAAAATTCGGGCTTTTGAGTCCTGCCTCCATGTGACTGATACTCACATCACATGGCCATCGTTCACAGGTGACTGATACTCACATCACATGGCCATCGTTCACAGGTGACT